GGGGGAGGGTGAGAAGGTATGTAGACTTAAGAAAGCTATTTATGGACTTAAACAATCTCCCCGTGCATGGTTTAGGAGATTTAGTGAAGTGGTGAAGAAGTTTGGAATGAAACAGTGTCAGGTTGACCATTCCGTATTCAGCTATGAATCAAATGCTGGGAAGATTCTCTTGGTGGTATATGTAGATGACATTGTTATCACAGGCAGTGACAGACCAGGGATTGACAGGTTGAAGACTTGCATGATCACTTCCAAACAAAGGATCTTGGAAAATTAAGATGCTTCCTAGGGATAGAGGTTGCGAGGTCCAAGAATGGTATTAATCTGTGTTAGAGGAAATATGTTCTTGATCTGCTAGAAGAAAAGGGTTGTTGGGTGCCAAACCAGCTGAAACACCTATGGAACTGAATGTTAAATTGGGTAGTGATACAAGTGAGGAGTTCGAGGATCCGGGAAGGTACAGAAGGTTGGTGGGTAAGCTTAATTACCTAACCATCACTCGACCTAATATCTCATTTGCAGTCAGTGTGGTGAGTCAGTTTATGCAGAACCCTCGAATCCCACACTGGGAGGCAGTCCTAAGGATTGTGAGGTATTTGAAAGGTGCCCCAGGTTGTGGTTTGTTATATAAGAGTGGAGAAAGTCTTGAGATAGAGGGATACATGGATGCTGATTGGGTCGAGTCCATATCTGACAGAAGGTCCACTACAGGGTATTGCACTTTTCTTGGTGGGAACTTAGTGACATGGAAGAGTAAGAAGCAGACAGTGGTAGCAAGAAGCAGTGCAGAGGCTGAATATAGGGCTATGGCACACACAACATGCGAACTAGTGTGGTTGAAGCATCTCCTAGAGAAGATGGGATACTCGATTGACACTCCTATGAAGCTATACTGTGATAATCGAGTTGCAGTTCATATCTCCTCTAATCCAATGTTTCATGAAAGGACGAAGCATATAGAAGTGGATTGCCACTTTGTACGTGAGAAGGTGCTTAGTGGAGTGATAAGTACAGCATATGTGAACATAGGAAATCAATGGGCAGACCTGTTTACCAAAGGGTTGAATCGGAGAAGAGTGGACTACATATGTAACAAGCTGGGACTATATGACATATACTCACTAGCTTGAGGGGGAGTGTTATAGTCGGCTGTACAAGGGTAGTATAGTCCTTTTATGTTTAGTTATATATGTATTGTTCAGCTGATGTGGCTCTCACTTAAGTGAGGGCACAATGGTAATTCTTGTATATCTTAGAAGAGTATAAATAAAAGAAGAGCCGACTAGAGGGATTTGAATTTTTCTCTCTAGTTCAGCTGTGACCTTTTCTCCTTCTTCTTCTTCTCCTTCGTCTCCTTCTTCTCTCTCTTCTTCTCCTCTTTCTTCTGATCTGAACTAATACAACATCTAGTCTGAGTTTTATCACACTTCCTGAGAGGCAACTCTTTCTCTAATAAAGTGTTAGTCTACCTCAATATGTTTGGTTCTATCATACTGTATTGGATTATGAGCATTATTAATAGCGGCCCGATTATCACAATACAGCATAAGGGGCCTTTCGTATTCAATCTCTAACTCCTCAAGTAGGGATCTTAGCCATAACACTTCAGCCACACCATTAGTCATAGATCTGTACACTGCTTCAGCACTGGAGCGGGAAACTACATTTTGTGTCTTACTCCTCCAAGAAACAAGATTACCCCCAACAAGGGCATAGTAGCCTGAAGTAGATGTATCATCAACACATCCAGCATAATCTGCATCAGTGTATACCTCTATCTTCATGTGACCATTATTCTTGATGAGTATACCTCCGCTTGGACACCTCTTCAAATAGGCAAGTATCCGCTCGACTGCAAGGAGATGGGATGTTCTAGGAGACTACATATACTGACTAACAACACTAACAACATAAGAAATATCAAGACGTGTTAGGCAGAGGTAGAGAAGCTTTCCAACCAGTCCTTGATACATTCCTTTATCTTCAAGTGGCTTAACCCCTACTGCATTTATCTTATGATTTGGCTCAATTGGTGTGTCTACTAGTTTAACTCCCAATTTTCTAGATTTCCTTCGGAGAGGAAGATATCATGCTTAGACCCGGCTACTTCAATTCCCAAGAAATATCACAAATCACCTCGAACTCCTTACTAAGTTAACTCCTTCAGAGAATTAATCTCATCACTATCACCGCCTGTCACCACAATATCATCAACATACACAACCAAAAGAGTTAAGGCTGAACCTGTTTTCTTGATAAAGAGAGTGTGATCAAATTGAGCCTGCACATAATCAAATTTCTCCAAGGCAAGTCCGAACCTGTCACACCTTGCCCTTGGAGACTGCTTGAAACCATACAAAGCCTTCTTCAGCTGACAAAATTTCTTTCCAAAATCCCCAGCATAGAAACCCTAAGGCAACTCCATATATTACCTCTTCCTATAGATCACCATTCAGGAAAGCATTTTTAACATCCATCTAGAACAACAGCCATGAGAAGTTTGCAACAAGTGACAACAACACTCTGGTAGTGTTAATTTTTGCAACTGGTGCATAGTTTCTACATAATCAATACCATAAGTTTGCATGTATCCCTTAGCAACCAGTAGGGCCTTGTACCTTTCAATTGAACCATCTGCATTGTACATAATCAATACCATAAGTTTGTCAGAGCATCCATCTCAACTTTCACCACTTCCTTCCACTCAAGTACTACCAAGGCTTCCTGTACTATTTTGGGAATGGGTATAGCAGCAATGGTTACCCAAAAGGATTTATATGAAGGTGAAAGGTGTTCATAAGAAAGAAACTAGGAGATGGAATGGGCAATAGATAAGGTGCAACGTTGTTTCCCTTTGTATATGCAGAGAGACTGAGCTGAATGGGCCCTAATATTTGTTTTTATGTTTAAGTAGTGTTCTATCTGTTTTATGAGTTAATGGGCTTATTAAGATTAATAAAAGATTAGTGAAGGGAGAGAGAAACCCATCGAACTCTCTTCTTCTCCTCCATCTTCTTCTATTCTGCAATAACCTTCTTTTCTCTCTCACTTTTCTTTTTTTTTATCAGGTTTGAAGGACAAATTCACAGCACCTTTGACTAATCTCCTTAAGAAGAACCAACCATGGCATTGGACGAGAGAATGTCAAGAGGCCTTTGAGGGCTATTGGCCTAGTTGGTAGAGGGTTTGGAGAGTTAGAATCTAGCCGAAAATTGCCAAGAATTGAAGCTGTATTTTTCTGCCCAAAACCCTAGCCGACTAGTGAGATTTCAAGTTACAGGTTAAGGATAAGGATTGGGTGTGGCGCTTAGGGCTTGGGAGGTGTAGTTTGATCCCCAGAAGTGTGCGGTTGAGATTTGAAGAAGGTTGGTAAGCTCTGGTAGGAGCAGCTACTTCTCTCTTCCTTCCCGAACGTCGGGTGCAGTGAAACCCTAGTTTTTGAATCTCTAGGTATTGTACTGACCTCAGTTAGGTATATAAAGATTGAAAAACTAGTTTTTTTTTATTTTCGTATGATCAATGGAGCAATCTGGAAGTGAAATGAAGCAGATGCCGGTATCCAAGGTTGGTCCGGTAGATTCCTTTTTGATTAGTGAGACCATAATTAAACTAGATGGAACCAATTACCTAGCTTGGGCACAATCCATAATCCATACAGATTTATGTTTGAAGTAGAGGTAAACTAGGGTATCTCACAGGTAGTAAGGTGAAATTATGACTAGATGGAACCAATTACCTTCTCCGTCCACCCTTGAACTCTCACGGCTAGCCTTTCGAACTCCATCTGGTATTCTTTTACTAATCCCACCTGCCACAGCTTTGCCAAATTTTCATCAAGATCTTCGAATCCAGATGATCCAAAACGGACAGTCACGGCGTTCGTGAAGTCTGCCCAGGTTTGACGAGGGTGCCCCCTTCTGTACCATTGAAACCAGAGGATAGCTTCCCCTTCAAGATGCGTAGAAGCCAGAGCTACCCTATCTTGCCCCGGTGTTTCATGGTAATCAAAATACCTTTCAGCTCTGAGAATCCAGGGAGTTGGGTCGCCGCCTGAGAAGATGGGGAAGTCGATTTTGGCTATTATTGTTGCCGCCCCTGTTCTGCGGCTGTTTTCATTACTGCGCTCTTCTTTGCTTCCTCTATCAATGTTCGTTGCCTCCTGCTCCAATCGAAGGAGGAGAGCAGTGAAGCCTTCCTTCATTTCTTTGAGATCTAAAGACATTCGATGGATCTCTACCTCCATCTGATCCATTTGGGTGTCTACTAACGTGTTTCTTGTGTTGGTCATGCTGGCTCTGATACCAAATTGTTAGGAACCTGCCTAACTCAGGGCTCTTCGAGGGGCCAACCTCCTGAATTCTTGGAAGAAGAGAGAGGAAAAGAGAGAGAGAGAGGGAGAGAGAGAGAGTTTAATGCTGAAACAATCAATGTCCTATTCCCTTTCCTGCTCTACTACTTGTAGTTTTACAATCTTGATTGTTACAGTTGTTACAAGTGGATTGTTAGTTGTGCTGACGTGGCCTCCTCTTGTAAAACTGCTTAACTGCCTTATGTTGGTTTGTTCCAGCAGTCTTGACAGTTCTGATGTAGTTTCAGCAAGAAACAAAAGAAAGAAAAGAGAAAAAGAATAGAAGAAAGCAGGGGAGAAGAGAAGAGAAGAGAAGAGAAGAAGAATAGAATGATAAGGGTGCAGCTAATAAGTCTGCCGCCCACTCTCTCAATTAGTATTTATATGTTTTTAATATAAAAAACAGTACAAAGACATAAATACCCCTGCCACCCAAGTAACTCTAACAGCAATATAACAGCAACTAAAAACATAATAAAAAATTAACGGCAACTACAGTAACTAATTTACTACACTATTTCTCCACAGAACTTAAAGTTGATGCTCATCTAAGGTAAAGAGGAGATCTTATGGAGCAAAGACATAAAGGTTAAGGTAGTGATTTGTCAACTTACAGATTCATATTGGCATACCACTTACATTAACACATTACCTTTTTCTGATCGGTATCATCTGTAGTCAAACATGTTGGTCTCTTCCCAAGAACATTAACACGATTAATAGAGAAACCATTTGCATCAGCTACAGCTTGTAAATATTGGGCACCCTTCTCTTGTAGCCCTGGAAATACTGATATTATATTTGAGGATGGTGAAAGATTTGCAAGAAGAATTGTTAAGAACACACTATCATCTGCAACAACGCACAAGGGGGAAACCTTCTTCTGCAACTGCAAAAGAATATATCGTTATCAATAGGCTGTGCTTACCATCACAATATTAAATAGTACAAGATCATATAAATTGCCAATGTCTATCAGAGTACCTAAAGTGAATAATATGTACCAGTGGTAAAAACTGAAATGATAGAAATGCAGTATCATACATGAGCTTATCATATGCACTTGCTGGTGGCAAAAAGGTATTTTGTAAGAGAAGAGGAATGGAGACAAGGGGCAATGAAAGGTGCGCAGATCTGATTCAAGAGTCATCTAGTCATCTAGTCATCTAGTCATCTGATGGAAGAGAAGATGAAAGAACAAAGAGGAAGGGTGACCATGTTAAAGGATAGATTTTTTTATTGGAAATGGTAACTTCATTACTGTAAAATTAAGATACAAATGTCAACCCCTAAGATAGGAGTTGAGCCCAAGTAATTTGAATTACAGAACTGCCCAGAACAAACTTTCCCTCGCTGTCCCTTGTTTTGCTAAGGTATCAGCCAGACCATTAGCTGATCTTGAAGCCTGCATCAAGATCCCTTCTTATATTGAGAATTTCCCATATGGGTTGTCGATACATCCATGCTCCAACTTGCCTGATTGCAGCCAGTCCATTAACAATTTAGAATCTCCTTCTATCTCAACTTGGTGTAATCCCAATTGCTTGGCATATTTTACATATTGAAGCAGAGCTATCACTTCTGCTCTCAGTGAGTCTCCCACCCCTATTGGCCCAGAAAACATAGCAACCATTCCCCCATCTCCATCTCTGAAAACTCCCCCTATACCTGAAGGCCCAGGATTACCTCTAGAGCTCCCATCAAAGTTCAACTTTATTCTTTGTTGTGTTGGAGGGGACCACATTTCCTGCACAATAGGTTTTATAGATGTTGTAGCTGCAACCACTCCCCAATTCCTAAATATGTCCTCACCATGTTAAAGGATAGATTGAGAGACAAAGACTAAATGGAAATGCTAACCAAGCAGAGAATGAATTATATTATAGTTTTAAGTGCTAAGAATGTTTTTTTTTTTTTTGAAGGATAGAATAAAAATTTTATAAAAAAGAAAAGATAACGAAGCATTGGAAGTCAAGGAGACATCCCAGATTGAGAAACAGCTAGACAATCTGAGAAGATTCTTCCTTACAAGGTTGTAATTCCAGAACACCCCAAAAATTCTCTATCAATTCCTCCCTTCTAACTTGATCAAACTCTGGAAGAACCAGCACCCAGTCTGAGACCCAAGAACCCACGGCAGAAACTTTTTTTCTTTTTTGTCAATAAACAAATTCTCTATCAAATCCATATTTTTTGCTTTGTTTTCAAATGCTCTTCTATTCCTTTCAGCCCACAGTGACCAACAAACTGCAAAAGGAATACAGCTCCACATAATTCTGGCTTTCTTGCTGCCACTGATTTTCAGCCATCTAGACAAAATCTCAGCAGGAGATGAAGGCTGGAAGACTGACTTTCCAAAAAGGGAGTAGAAATTCCAGATGAATTTTGGCACTTTGCACAAATTGAACAGATGCAACACTATCTCAGTGTCTCCTCATCCAATTTGCACAAATAGCAGAAACTTGGAAGGAAAAAGCCTCTTTTCTTCAAGTGACCTGTGGTTAGAATACTGTTGAGGGCAACCAGCCAAGAAAATGCCTCCACTCTCGGCAGCACTGGGTTCCCCCACACTCCTTTTAAGCTAGAAGAAACCTGATCATCTCTTACCAAAGCCAAGTAAAAGGATTTCATAGAAAACCTGCCATCCTTACACTCTTTCCACCAATGACCATCCTCTGAAGAAGGAGAGACATTGGACTGTTCTAGTTTGTTCAACAGCTGAATGCACTCTTCCACTTCTCGTTCGTGCAGGGGTCTTCTGAATCTTGGGATCCATACTAGTTGCTCCCCCCCCCCCACTGGTCAATAGTGACCTGATGTTCAGTCAGTCTATATAGCCTTGGACAGATTTCACAAAGTTTCCCCACTCCAGTCCAATCATCTTCCCAGAATCTTATCCTTGAACCTTTCCAACTTTAAACTTTGTCAGATCCCTGAAGTCCTGGTTGAATCTCATAATACCCTTCCACACACCAACCCCATAAGTCCTTGAAACTTCTCTTGGCTCCCACCCAAACCTCACCACCCCATATTTCCTAGCCACCACCCTCCTCCACAGTGCTTCCTCCTCTCCTTCCTGCCCAAACCTCCACAGCCATTTTCCTAATAAAGCTTTATTAAAAGTCCTAATTCTTCTTATACCCAAAGGCCCAAACCTCCCCTTTCCTTAGGCCTACACACTTTATCCCAGCTCACCAGATGGAACTTCTTGGCCCTTCCTGCCCCTTCCCACAAAAAATCCCTTTGGATCTTCTCTAGTTTGACAGCCACTTCCTTTGGAATCTTCAATAGAGATAGATAACATGTGAGAAGGCTTGAAAGCACACTCCTAATGAGGATAATCCTACCTCCAAAGGATAAGTACTTTGCCTTCCAACTGTCCAGTCCAGCCTCTTCTCCACCCATTCTAACAGAGGACTCCAGACGTTAACAGCAGATATCTTTGAACCAACCGGGATCCCCAGATAAAGGAAAGGGAGTTCCCCAATCTGACAATTCAGCACTGATGCAAACGGCTCCATGTTACCTCTGCTAATATCCCCGATTCCGATAAGGTGACATTTTTCAAGATTTACTTTCAAACCTGTCACCATTTCAAAATTTGCTAAAGTGGTTATCAAACTCGGCACCTGATCAGCAGATGCATCTAAAAAGATGAGGGTGTCATCTGCATACTGGAGATGAGAGATAGTAGGCCCTTCTACCCCTGATTTGAAACCTTCGATCCAACCCAACTGAGAACTTTTATTCATCAGAAGATTCAGGAGTCAGGACCTCCATAATTAATACAAACAACAGGGGGGAAATTGGATCCCCTTGCCTCAGCCCTCTTGATGCTTGAAAAAATTCCAATGAGACCCCATTGATGATAATGGAAAAGGACACTGAAGAGATGCAGCCATAAATGCAGCTTCTCCATTTCTCCCCAAACCCCATCAGCCTCTGACTCTCCTCCAAGAAGCCCCACTCCACATGGTCGTAAGCTTCTTCTATGTCCAGGTTACAGATCAGGTTTGGCCTCCCACTCCTTAATCTTGAGTCTATGCATTCACTTGCCACCAAAACTCCATCCAAGATCTGCCTACCTTCCACAAACGCTATCTGAGTTTCCCCTACCACCTCGTGCACCACATTTTTCAGCCTACTAGCCAAAAGCTTGTATGGGCTGCATATCAAGCTAATTGGCCTGAAATCTTTCAAGTTCAAAGCCCCATCCTTCTTCTTTATTAGGGAAAGAAAAGTTGCATTGGCCCTTCTTTCTAGTAATCCAGAATCCCAAAACTCCTGCAACCAGTTCAAAACATCTTCCTCCATGAAATGCTGGCAACTTTTTGTTTTGGAATGGTAGAATACTGATGTATTTCATTCTATTGCCAATCGGCATATTTATACAGTAAGCTGCTGCAATAAATAGAAAGAAAAAAA